CTTCTTTTTTTTTCACCCAAAATAAGGAAGGGGGGCCTGGGCCCCTCCCCTAGATCTGCCACTGCACATACATCAGAGCCCCCCAAGCTGATGATTTGATAATGAATTGCTGCTGAGACCAGATTCTCTTGGTGGTCAACAAGCAAGCCTTTGTGACCCTGAAAACTATGCTGGGAAGACTGCTAATTCGGTCGTAATGATCCAGCCAAACCAGACTGGCTGAAAAAGAAGGGGGGATGGGCTGCTCAAATATAACCCTGCTCAACCAGGTTGGCAAGTAGACACAAGGATAATCATTGCACTTTAATAAAAAAAAAAAACAAAACTCACTCTCAGTTAATTATAAAAACTGGAAACTAAATGTTGGGGGAATATCACAAGAACTAGACTTAGTCCCTAAATAGACAATGTCAATTAACAATAACATATCAAGTCTACAAACCTGAAGGCTACATCCAGGGAAAATGAAACTATTACTACAATCCCATCAAATACCTACCAAATAACGAAAGAATGAAAACACATTGAATTCCTACCTAAATCTAACTGAGTGTCAAGACAGGAACAACAAACTTGCATTTTCCATTGGGTTGCTGCAGAAAATATGCAAACCTTCCCCACATAGGGTATTTGGGTTTAAACTGTCCAATCCACATCTCTATAGATTCCAGTTTAAATTTACATTATTTTCCTTTTGAAGATTTAGCCTTTGAGATCGCCAATGACTCTTTGAGAGGGTGGATATTGATATTTTCTTCAAATGAACAGTGCAGAATTGTCAGATCTTCTAAGGGTTCTACTCACAAAGAACCCAGTTAGAACAATTTACACTTGTCAATCAAATTTAATCACAGCAGAAAACATTTTCCAGAAATGCTGGCACAGTGTACCCCTACATGAGGTGGATGGTGTTGAAGATCAGGTTAGACACAAACAAATTAGTTTTTAGTTGACTAGAGCTTAAAAATTATAACCAATAAACATTACCTCCATCTTGTGTTTAAAAAATGTGAACCCCATTGCATAGATTTTCAGAAACAACTGTAAAAAAAGTAGTAAGAGAGATTACAGATGTTTCAGGCTAAGAAAAGTCAACTACAGGACTGGCTTAGTTTGAATCAGTAAAATTCAAAATAATTTGATGACAAAGTTACCCAAGGTGGATATTTTCTCCTTTTCCGGTATTAAAGGAGTTGTAAAATAATGTAAATAACAACAGGAAGTTTCTTATTTTATTTGGAGTGATCGTGACAAGCTGCCATGACAATCGTCAACTTGATATTCAAATTAAAAATCCTTTCCATATAAATCAATCAAGAATGATGCAGAAATTCTCTGTTTACATCCAGGAGGAATTTGTCTGTTAGAAAAGGCATTTTTGTTCAGCAGGTAAGACAGAAAATAAAGTTATATTCAAGTTGCTAATTTATACCTCAATCATAAAGATTGACAGGATGGCAATACTGATGTAATGCAGGACATGCGGTGCAGGGTTGTCATGGTGAACTGCAGCAAGAAGGATACAACTGCTTGTTAAACTCTACACTGAAGAAAGTGAGACCAAGTTTGTATCTATGAGTCAATTAAGTCTATGAGTCATCAGGTTAACTGACCATTAAGCAAACAAGAGTACCAGGTATTCAGGTGAATAATAATTTGGAATACTATGAAGACTAACTCAGTGAAGTACTTTTAGTTGTATTAGACTAACCAAAATTCGGTCAGACAGGCTTAACTGGATCTCGAATCTTCCTGGGTAATTAGACTCGGATGGCTTTGGGAGTACCGCATCAGTACGACGAGTCATGGTATTCCCGCTGGATCCTTCTATGCCAAAACAGGGGGCAGAAGATGGGTAGTTGTTCTTATCAAGCGTCAGCATGCCGACAAAGCGATGGCCATCTGAAATAACAAATGAAGGATCGCTGTCTGCTGAGCCAAACGTCGTTTCTAAGCCAACCGCCACCTTCACGGCAAGTTTGGCATTTTTACCGATGACTCCTGGCGGAATCAGCGGGACAATGATCAGTCGATAGTAGTTGCTTGGAGCACTGAGGAACGTGAGTAGTCGAGGAGTCAGGGTATTGTGGTGATGGATGAAGGTAGCAGCCTCAGCAAGCTTCGTAGGAGTGAAGAATTTGTAAAACACAAGCTGTAGGTACAAAATAGAATACAAAACTGATTTAGTTTACCGACTCACTTTTTTTTCAAGGAAAGACAGTGTTGACAAGGCATCAAGTGTAATATTGAGTCTGATCTTATAAAGAACGCAGATTCTTAAGTAAACGAAATAAAAATTATTTGTTGCTATCGTGTTCCATATTTTCTCCCGCCCGTAGAAGTTTCCGGCCAAAACGGATTTTTACTGACTATTTTCACCAAGAAGGACTGGAAGCAAAGAAAACAGATTTAAGTTGTGTAACCTGTGGCTGCAAATTCGACGTGTTTTCATCCTTAAGATCATTTGCTTGGGCCAACGATACAGAAAATATCAGCAAGGCTATTTTGATAATTCTGATCTTTATACTCATTTTAGTTCCGACCGGACTGCTTCGAATCGAGATATGGTAACAATTTGAGTTCTACTAATAAATTGAATGGTGTCATTGATTCAGTGGGGCATCACTGTATACATATGATCTGGTGTTTTGAAAATTTTCGCGTTTCCGAAGCAGACCTTTATTTGTAAGTTAAGTTATTTATGATTGCCAAGTAATCATTCAGAAGACAAAGAAATCGCAAAATTTGAATTTCAAATCGATTTAGCAAATCGATGCCACTGATCATCACAAAACTTCTTCGGATACTTTCAGCTGATTATTACTTCCGTAGAGAACAGAAGCCCGTCTTTTTTTTTAAGATACATGTACCTTTCTGTCAACTTTTGATGCCACAACTACGACAAAATTCCAAAAGAAATAGAACTTCATTAATAATTAACATATAAATCAACTACAAAACATTGTTTATTTGCCCTCAGTGACTACCTTAGCCTTGTAGGCTTCATCCATTTGGAATAAAGATTTGTAATCCAAAAGGATCAGTTGCTGTGTGGCACAGTGAACAGTTCAAAAGTTGTAAATAGTAATAACGCGGTGCCAAATTAAAAACGATGTTTATAGCAGACATTTCGGGCGTAGCCCTACCTCGGTGCCAAGTTGAGTTTTGAATGGGACACGTCAGTTGTAGTGTTGTACGCGCGACTCTAACGGATAGGTAAAAGCGCGAGCGCGTCAAGCTGTTTAAAAAAAATCCACGCACTGGTGAACACCTTCGAACCATTACGAAAAACCCACCCGGTTTCCCTGTTGCGGAACATTTCAATAAGTCTGGACATGGACTAGACGACATGGAGGTTCACTGCGTGAAACAATGCAGGCGTACAAACAACGCCAGACGCCGTGACGAAATGCGCCTTGTTCATCTTGGCACCCTTCGGACTAAACGTGGATTTTATTGTTTATTTTTGGTTAATGTGTATTTACGTCACCGGTGGAAAAATCCACCGATAAATTTGGCGCGCTGCAAGTAGGAAAAGTCCTTTCCAACGGCGAAACTAACGGGCCAGGGAAGAATTATTGGAAAGGACTTTTAGGAAGCTACCAATTTCCTAGCTTAAAATAAAA